TTTTATCTATATATACACACATATAAAACAATAATAATTAAAGAAGATAGGGAGTTGAATTTGAGAGGGAGTTGGGGGCATGGGAGGAATTGGAGGGAGAGGGAGGGGGGAAATGATTAAATATGGTTCTCCAAAAAATTAAAACCCCAAAACCTTAAAAAAAGAAAAATGAATTTATATCTGATGAGCCATGGCAGCGAGAGCGAGACAGGCTGTACCTCACTGGGCTGGTAGGGGATTTAGGAGAGAAGTTGGGCATATCGGAAATGAGGGCAGGAAGCATGGGCACCGGTGAGTCAGGCGGGGTGGGTGCGGCCCCCGTTCTCACAGGAGCACCGAGAGGCAGCAAGCAGGGAGTGGCGCCAAAGCTTAGCACTCCAGTAAAGAAGGAGAACGCTCAGAATTGCTGACGGGAGCAAGGCCTGTGTTTCCCCGGTACTCAATGACTCAGGCTTGAGCTTTGGCCCAGAGACTGGGGAGACGGGAAGGACCCCAAGAGACACTCTCGGCTCCCACAGCTGATAGCCCTACTGACTGGGAAGTAGCCGCCCAATCCCCAGGTCCCTGAGCAGACAAGGGTTGATGGATTCTAGGAGGCAGGAGTGCTCAGAAGGCTAGTACCTGGGAGTGGATATCAACCTGCCTGCCTCCTGGGGAGGGAAGAAGGGGCTCTCATCAGTGGGTCTCCCTGGACCTGTGAATTTAGTCACATTCTGGGTGGCTTGGCACTATTCAGTCTGTGCTTCAGAATGTATATTTCTCTGTGTGTGTGTGTGTGGAAGATGGCAACAGGGGAAATAGGGACAACAATCCCAAAACTCAGGGATGGCGTGGGTAGTGCTTCTCAGTTTCACCTAGGAAATGGATAAGGACACCTGTGTCTCTCATACTAGTCAAGACCCAAGTGAATGCCACAGGAAAAAGTTCCCCAGAAAAAGACAAAAGCAAGGTCAGAAAAAACCAGAAGCTTCTAGAAGGCCAAGATAGACTTTATGGGATGAATTCTGGCAGGCAGAAATGGGTCTGGGATCTGAGCTGGGATCCTGGGGGCTGGAGGGCTGGGGGCTTGGGGCAGGGATCCTGGGAGTCTGGGATCCTGGAGGGCAGGGATCCTGGGGGGCTTGGATTCTGGAGGGTTGGGGGAACTGGGAGATTGGGGCCTGGGGGCCTGGGGGCTGGGAGTGAGAGGTTCTACAGAGACCAGACTTGCTCAAGCAAAGGTCTGGGGGAGGAAAGTGTCGAGGAACTTAGAGAAAGTCAAGACTGAATTTGACCTGGAAGTTCAGCGGGCTACCAGCCTCAACATGCCCTCTGCAGAAAACGGAAAAGGTCTCCAGAGCCCAAGCCAAACAGGAAGCTAAAGAGCAGGGCAGTCGGTGCAGGGGAAAGAGCTTCCATTCTGGGATCACACTTTTTGGTTGATTGAATCTGGACTCTTCTCTTGCAAAGAACTGCAGTTTTGGCCCAGTCACTAACTTTTCTAAGCGGTGGCTTCTTTTACTGCTAAGCAATACTTGCTTCACGGGGCAGGTGAGAAGCTGGAGTGAGATCTAGGAAGTCGCTGCAAGTGCCTAATAAACCGTGGCTGTTCCTTTGTGCTAAAGTGACGGTAAAATCCAGGCCGAGCCCCCTGTGCACCCTCCGGCATAAACCCTTGTTTCTTCCGGAATTATGTCTTCATCAGGAGGAACGCCAAGACCTTCTCATTTGTTGATAGAGATTACATGAAGTTGCTCCATTTCTTCCCTCTGCCTCTTTCCCAGCATTCCTTTCAGGTCCAAGGAAAGTCTTCTGATTTCTCTATTATCAACTGAAGCACGGGTGGTTTCCAGTTCCTCGCCACTCCTGACAGTGCAGGCAGACTCGTGACTCCTCGGCGTAGTTCTAAGCTGAGCCTGTAGCTCAACCCTGGCTGGGGAAACTTGCTCATCTCCCACACCCGGTCCTTGCGAAGTCCCTGGGATGAGGGCAGTACACAGCAGCAATCCACAGAGAACTGCAGGCCTCTTGGCACAGAGAGCTAGCTCTCTCTCTCTCTCCTAGTTTGCTTTCTGTTGCTGTGATAAACGCCGTGGCCAAAAGCACCTTGAGGAGGAAAGGGTTTATTGGAGCATAGACTTCTACATCATTGCTCATCGTTCAGGGAAGCTGAGGCAGGAACTTGGAGACAGAAACTGAAGCAGAGATTGATGAGGGAGAAGACGGATGACTGCTTGCTTTATTTAATGCTTATTTTGATTTCAAGACAGGATTTCTCTGTGTAACAGTCATGTCTGTCCTGGAACTAACTTTGAAGACCAGGCTGGCCTCAAACTCACAGAGATCCGCCTCCCTCTGCCTCCCGAGTGCTGGGATTGACTGCTTGCTTTTCATGACTTGCTCAGCTTGCTTATTATACAACCCAGCACCGCCTGCCCAGGAGTGGCACCATCCACCGTGCTATGGGCATTCCTACATCAGACATATATCTTGACATGCTCATAAGCCAAACTGATGGAGGCAATATCTCAGTTAAGGTTCCCTCTTTTCCGTTTGTGTCAAGTTGATAAAACTAACCAGCAGACTGTTCAAATCCCTTCACTAAGACACTTAACCAAAGTCTAAGTGGCTGTATACATATACATAGCATCCTAAGGCCATGTCCCTAGGGTGGTCCCTGCCATCCTTGAAATTCCTTCTTGAGAAATCTCAGTACTGCTTGGAAGCTTGCTTTGTGTTCCAGCCTGTACTGATAACAGCCCTGGACCTCTCCTTAGGCCACTTGCTACAAAGGGCTAGCAGCTAGAAGGATGTGTCTCTTCTAAGCGGGAGCGTGTCTCAAGGACCTGAGAACTCTTCGAGAGGACCACGTATCCCATGTGATACATCAAAGGTGGTGTCAGGGTCTTTAGTGTCTAGGATGAGCAGGATCCAGGATAAGAAAGGGAAAAAGGCAGTTTTAGACTCAGTCACCTTGCCTGATCAGGCCCCTGTGAGGCTTTCATGACCGCCTTGCTTCATGTCCGAGACCTCACCCCCACCACTAACATTACCTCATCACTTCCCTTAGCTACCAGGGATCTCCATTCTTACTCCTGGGCCCAAAGAGGCCTTCAGCAGTTGATGGAACTGGGTGACAATGACATGTCCCCCAAACTGGACTCTCAGGCTCAGGTTCATAGTGTGCTTGCTATGTAAGCATGAGTACCCATGCTCAACCCGTAGCGAGCATGAATACCCAATAGCACCAAAGTACCCGTAGCACCAAAGTAAAGAGCCGGGAGTGGCTGTGCTCACAACCCCGGTGCTACAGAAATGAGAATGGGGGTGGGGGTGGGAGTGGGTGTCTCTAGAGCTAGCCAACAGCCTTGCTTAATAGGTGAGACCCAGATCCTAGTAGAAGACCCTGACTCAGGGAACAAGGTGGATGGCTTCTGAGCAACACCAGAGGATTTCCTCTGGCTTCCACATGCACACACATAACATATGTCCTCAAACATAATGGCATATACCACACTCTTCAAATCTTAAAAAAACAAACAAAAGAAAAATAAAAATAAAAGCTATCAGATTCTTTAGCCCAGCCTTTGGGATGGGGCTATTTGTTAGAGCTTGCGACAAAACCCCTTGATGTTCCTTGTTATTTTTAGATTTATTTTTATGTGGCTGTATGAATGTTTTGACTGAATGTTTGTATGTATGCCACATGGATACCTGCTACCTGAGGAATCTGGAAGAGGGCACCAGATCCCCTAGAACTGGAGCTATGGATGACTGTGAGCCTCCATGTGGGTGCTGGGAACTGAACCCAGGTTCTCCACAAGAGCTCCTCTACTGCATGTCTGATCATGCCAAGTTTCCTGGAGCTGACAGTGCCAGTGTTTGCCCACATGCACTGGGCACTCCTCTGTTTTGGGCCTGATACCCTCTTCAGTGTGCTTTCACCACTGACACCTGTCACTCTTGGAAAACCGCCCTTGGCCTCCTGGAAAAGCTTTGCTCTGGGAGGCAGGCCTGATCCATTCAGGCAGTCAGTTCTGCAGAAGGCGATTCCTTCCGGTGACACAGCCCCAAGAGGAAGGGTGAGTGTGCCAGTGCCTGATAGTGCTTCTGTCTCTTACCTGGAATCAGGAAGCACCTTCTCTTCCAGGCCCAGGAAGTTAAAGGCAGCAAGAGGTCTGCCTGTGCTGGGCAGAGACAGCCCAGTAGAAAGCAGCAGCTATTGGTAGAAAGATGGTGAAAACAGAGGCCAAGTGTCCTGCTTGGGGCGAGATCCTGCCCCTAGCATGAGAAAAGGCAGGAGCAGTTCTGAAGGAAAGAGGGGGGCTGGAGTTTGATTTTTAGTACCTATACATTTGATTTTTATTTTTTGAGACAGGATCTCACTGTGTAACCCTGGCTGGCCTGGAACTCTCTACGTAGAAAGACTAGCTTCAAAACTTAGAGATTCACCCATCTCTGCCTCTTGAGTGCCAGGATTAAAAGTGTGTGTCATGCACCATGCCTGACCCTACTTTTAAATTTTTTATTTTTTTGAGACAGAACCTCATTGTGTAGCCCTAGCTGTCCTTGTACTCACTCTAGATCAGACTGGCTGGAATTCAGGGATCCTCCTGGTTCTGTTTTTCCAGTGCTGGGATTAAAGAACCTGTTGTGTTTATACATGTGCATATGAATTTGGGTACACACTCCATGTGTTGGTCAGTCCTGGATACTGGTGCTCACCTTCTATCTTGTTTAGGTAAGGTCTTTAGCTGCTCACCATTGTGAACACCAGGCTAGGCGGCTGGAGAGCATCCAGGATTCTTCCACCTGTGTCTCCTATTCCATACAGGCATGCTGCCACTGCATCCAGTTTTAAACGGTTCTGGGATTTGAACTCTGGTCTTCATGCTTGCTCAGCAAGAGTTATGTCTACTGAATCATCTCAGCCTGAGAAGCTACACATTTTTACATCATTGAATCTTCCTCTCAAATATCTACCACTTTGTTTTAATACAGAATCAGAGCACACAAACATGTTGAAGGGGAGATAAGACCTTTATTAGCTTCTGTTTGTAAGGACTTTTCAATATAGCAGCAAAACATTAAACTGTAGGGACAGGGAAGACGAAGGCACAAAGAGCCTACTGGAGGCCCCAGAACTCACTGGTGCCCGGCATCCGTCCTCTCTCCCAGGAGGACATGGGTGTGCGAGAGGACCGCCTCGTTCCACCGAGACAGCCCCGACACCTGAGCCTCGGTGACAAGAGGACCTGGTTGGCTGGGACAGCAGCCCAGGAGCTTAGAATCTGCTGGTATAGAGGGTGACAATCCACTTGGGCACACGGAGGAAGCTAGGCAGGTAGGAGGTCAGCCATCCCAGGCTGGAGACATGAGAGAGAACGTAGCCCAAAGAAAAATAGTCTTGGACAGGGCGGCCTGGGATCAACAGAAAGACAATTAGACCCTTATTTCCTGCTCCTGAGACACCGCAGCGCTGGCTGAGAACTCAAGGGAAAAGGGTAACGGTTCGGTTCATCAGGTAAAGCTGGCCCAGACTGACTGCTTACCATCTATATCCCGAAGGCCATAGCGCCGGGCAAGGTCACAGGACGGCAGCACCTTCCCACTCAAGTCCAGGATATTGGGGTCTGTGGGCAGACAAACACTTAGCCATGGTGGGCGCTGGGAGGTGTGCAGTGACAGAATTTGGCTGAATGGGACAGGGCTCATGAAAAGGCCACACCTCCCTGCAGCTAGTTCAGAGGCCTCACACACCTCAAACCAGGAATCCTGACCCTCTGAGCCTCCAAAAGTCAAATCTGACAAGAATGTCCAATCATCTCCCAAACCAAAATAAGGAACTGGCTGTCAGCGCCCTGTAGACGAACTTTGTCACCCCAATGTCGTCACCTGTTGCCAAGGCCACCACGCACTTGCCACTCATTTCTGTGCTTTCTGCCGACGAGAAATCAGACTTGGCCTAAAAAATGGGTTGAGAAGTTAGGGGTTAATTTCCAAGAGCACGGCTGTGCCTTCTTCATTTTCACTTGTCCCAGAAGGACATAAACCTAAGCAGGATTTGCAAGGCCATGTCTTAAAAGACACCGGAGCCACCTTTCCCATGTTCACGTGAGCCCTGGACCCTGGACCCAGGACCACCGCCTCTACTAATGGAAGGATCAGATCATTACAACTAGTGCTGGACCTTCTAGGGTAAATGAGGGCGAGGCCAAATACGTGGGCTTTGGTGTCAGACAGCCTTTCCTGTGGCGATGCGTACTATGGAGTGTGTTTCTTTCCTTCTGTCCTTCATTACTCATTGCCAGGAGCTGAGCCTGTGTCAGCAGCCTGTGCCGAAGCAAATGCTCTACCACTGGGCTACGTTTTCAGCCCGGGATCAGGTTTCTTCACTTCTCTGATTTCTGCTTCACTATCTATAAATGGAGTTATTATCTGCCTTACAAGATTTGAAGAACTAATGTGTGTACATGCTCAGCCTGTGTCTGCCCTAGTAAGCACCTGATGAGCGGGAACATTTGTTCTTTCTCTTTTTAGCCAGAGTCTCACTGTGTGGCCCTGGCTGGCCCAGAACTCAGTCAGGCTGGCCTTGAAGTCGTACAGATCCCCTTGCCTCTGCCTCCTGAGTGCTGGAATCATGGGGCATGCTTATACTGGGTACTGTCTGGAGAGACTGCCTTTTCTTTTCTTTTTTCTTTTTTTTCCTCTCTGAAACAGGGTTTCTCTGTAGCTTTGGAGCCTGTTGTGGAACTAACTCTGTAGTCAGGCTGGCCTTAAACTCACAGAAATCTGCCTGCCTCTACCTCCCGAGTGCTGGGATTAAAGGCATGTGCACTACCACTGCCCAGCCTGTGCCAACCTTCTTAAACACAGGATCCTCTGGTTCTTCCTGTTTTGCCATAAACTCCTTCAACAGTTCTGTTTGCACCATCCCTGGCCACAGAGAAACGTAGCTGACTCCATGACGCCGTAGCTCGTGAGCACAGTCAGCAGCCAATCTGTCACACTGTGGAGGGAGAGAAGGCAGAATGAGAACCTGGACACTGCCTAACTCACCCTCCTCTTCTGCTCTACCTCAGTCCAAGAGGATAGCCCCAGTCCCCATCCTTCTCAAGAGCCCTGATGTTTCTGGTACTCCTCTTCCCACATCTGATACCTACTCTGGCAGATGGAGGGAGGTCCAGGCAAAGGGACTATCAGTGGGTAGGGCAGAGAGAGAGGTGAAGGTCACCAGTCTTACTATTCTGACCAGTGGGGACCGGATCAACTGTCAACCCTGTTGTCTGTTTCCCTGGCTCCTATGCACTGGTCCTTACCGCAGCTTTGCCCACACCATAAGGGACATTGAACATATGCTGCAGCCCCCCGGGGGAGGAGACAACCACGATGAGTCCTTTGCCAGCTGGTACCATCAGCCGCGCCCCATACACAGAGCACAAGTAGTGGCCTCTAGAGGGGGCAGAGAAGAAGGAATGAATTGTGTGGATGCTGGCTCAGCCGATTCCTGAGCCCCCAGTAGCTACTGTCAGCACCACAGGAGGCTGTATAGTAGCCGGTGAGGACCTGGGGAATTAGGAATAGGCCATTCCAAGGAGAAAACTGATACAATCAATGGCAGACAAGAAAGGGTGATATACACATGACAAACATAATGGAAAGGAATCTTGCACTATAAACATAAAATAGTTCAGGGCGAATTAGGCCCTGTATCTGGTCAGCTGGGTTAATGGGACAAATCTGTAATCTCAGCACTCTGGAGGCGAAGGCAGGAGAATGGGGAATTCAAGGACAGCTTGACTACACAGTGAATTTCATGCCAGCTTTGGGCAGAAGAGACCTTGTTACAAAACAGCAACAACCAACACACAAAACCCAAATCAGTCAGTCAGTAAATGAGCAAACGGCCCGAGTAGAAAGTTCTCAAGAGAACAAATTCATGTTGTAAAATAAATGCCAGAGAAATGTTAAATAACTACAGCCATTGGAGGACGTAAATCAAAACTGCTTTGTAATTCTATCTCATCCTAGGCAGAGTGGCTATCATCAAGAAAATAATTCACAAGTGCTGGTGATGACGTGGGCAGCGAGGAACCCTTACACACTGCTGGTGATGACGTGGGCAGAGAGGAACCCTTGCACACTGCTGGTGATGACGTGGGCAGAGAGGAACCCTTACACACTGCTGGTGAGAATGCGACTGTGCTGTGACTGTGCAATTCAGTGTGGGGATTTCTCACAAACAGAAAACAGAATGTGACCCTGCTATCCCACACGTGGGTAGAAGTCTAGGCCAATAAACCACAGAGATATTTGCATTTCTAGAGCCGACCTATTCACAATAGTCTGGAAATGGAACCAACAAAGACGTCCATCAACTAATGAGTGGATGAAAAATGTGGTACATATACAGAACTGAATTTTGTACAGCTGTAAAGAAAAATGAAACCATGACATTTGCAGGAAAATGGATACAAGTGGAAAACATAATAATAATTATTATTGTTATTAATTCTGAGACAAGGTCTCTCTGTATAGCCCTGGGGGTCCTGATACTCATACGAGATTAGGCTGGCCTCACACTCACAGATCTGCCTGCCTCTGCCTCCCGAATGCTGGGATTAAAGGCGTGCGCCACCACTTCAGTCACTGGAGATCACTGTATTAAGCAAAACAAGCCAGACTCAGAAACACAGATACCATGTTATCTCTCATATTTGGGTTCTAGGTTTAAAAATACATATGTGTATATATGTGCCCACATATGTGTATTTATAGGTATAAGGAGAACTGTAGAGGGAAGAAGAGGCCTGAGGAGGTGCGAAATAGAGAGGGAAACAGAAAACAGTAGGACTAACTGCGGAAGAGAGAGAATCAACTGGAGAGGCTGGGGAATGGAGAGGGCAGCGGGGATGAGGGGAATGAGGACCTAGCATAATATACATATGCCCGAAGAGATAAGACCTGACATGAACATCTGCATCCCACACCATAGCACTATGTAAAGCCATTATGTCCGGTTTAAAGCAAAAGAGTGAAGCTTTTGTGTCTGGCTTGGAATGAAATGTTTCAGCCAAGCTTTGCTATGTTTGGGTTGATCAGTAGAGGCTGAGAAATTGTTTTGAGACTGTTTAAACCTTGAAGAGCTGTTTCTCTGGAGCCTGTACTTGGTGCTATGTAAGAGCTTGATCTTGATCTGAACAGAGTTCTGGCAGACTTGGAATTCTTACTTTTGATTATGGCTTGCCACAGTCAAAAGGGACTGAGATTTGTGTGGGTTGTCTGCTCTCATGGGCAGCAAGGACAAGATGACTTTGATAGTTGGAACATTTCCCAGCTCCAATTAACCTTGTATATGTTTGAATAAAGTAACTGGAACAAGCTAGCTGGGTGTCATCCTTTTCCAACAAGGCTGTACTCCTCTGTTCCTTTGGAAAATTAAGGCTTAGTATCTCGGTAAGCTTCTCTCTCTACTGCAGCACCTACGACCTAACATCAAACAATACTGTATTAATTAGCCCATCCATTTAGTCAATTTGAGCCATCCTTCTAACCATTTTTAAAACAATAGTTTACGGAACACGTTCAACACTGAGAGAATACTCCCTTCTGGAACTTGTACTTGGGTTGGCAAAGATGGAGCGAGGAGCAAGGGTGAGATCTTGCTTAAAAAATGGAATTGGGTGGTGGTCGCCCATGCCTTTAATCCCAGCACTTGGGAGGCAGAGGTAATCAGAGCACTTTGAGGTCAAGGCCAGACAGGTCTACAAAGTGAGTTTTGGGACAGCCAGAACTATTACACAGGGAAACCCTGTCTCCAAAAAAACCAAACCAAACCAACCAACCAACCAACCAAACAAACGAACAAAGACCCTGGGTCTGGGGCAACCTAAATGGGAGGAACCTTGGTTCTGGAAGTGAAGCACACACCTGAGTCCAACATTGTTTATATCATCCCAGAGGGAGGCAGGTACTTCCCAGAATGGCTTATTGATGGTGTTCAGGATTGCCTAGAAGGAAGACAGACAGGGAGGGTGACTCTCGGGCCATCTGAAGGCAGGAAGTTACAAAGGGCTGGATAGTGGGACGACAATGGAGGTAGAGACTCAGGGTGGGTTGGGGGAGGTCTGGGATGTCGAGTTGTTTCAGGTTCCAAGGATACCTGGACACCAGCATAGGCATTATTCACCAGCACATCTAGCCGCCCCGCCTGCTCCCGATCGACTTGCTCGAACAGGCTTTTCACTTCACTCTCCTGGCTTGAATCACACACCACCGGCACACACCGGCCCCCGAGGGACTGTGCCTGGGGAGGAACAGGGAGTATGAGTTCTGAGCAGTGTCATTTCCCTAACTAAAGTGAGTTTAGGAACTGAGAAGGTAAACACAGGACTAAGGCCAACAACTGGGAAAACGTGGCATGCAATGGCTCCCCCTGGTGTCCATTTTAGAAATTTCATCACAGTAGGACCTCCTGCAAAAGAGCCAGGTATATGGGACCTTGGATTTCATATGCAGGACCTTGGAATATCCTCTGCCACTCCAAGGTAAGAGACAAGGTATGGCACCCACTCTCAGAAACAAGTAACTATCCTCTTTTTCCTTTCCAACTCTAATGCCCCCCTTTTTACCACTCCCTCGGAATTCTTACCTAACCAATGCTCTGACTTGGTAACTGAAAATTAAAGCTATCAGGCATAAACTATTGCTACTTCCTGTTCTACCTAGCCTTCCAAAAGTGTGCCCCCCACCAACTTTAGAGGCCGAAGAGCACCTGCTCTCCAAAGCAAGCTCAGGGTCCTGCCCTACCACTTCTTTGCTCAAACTGCGTTAAGTCCTAATGCTTTGACCTCCAGTCTTTTTTCCCTCAGTCAGTCCCTCATAATCCAGTCAGTATGAACTAGCTAAAGCACACACATTTTTAAAAAAATCTTCTAACTGGATCACCAATCAAACAATGAAAGCCTAGAAGTTTTTTTTCCATGGGGTCTTACTACACAGCCCAAGCTGGCCTTAAACTCCCAGTCCTCACACAACTTCTCCAGTGCTGGGTGCTATAGACATGCACACCATACTGGCTGTGTGTGTGTGTGTGTGTGTGTGTGTGAGAGAGAGAGAGAGAGAGGGGGGGGGGTCTCACTGTGTAGCTCTGACTGGTTTGGAATTCACTATGTAGACCTTGAACTCATAGAC